TAATGATCTCATTTAGGTTTCATTAGAGCACCTTTACCCTGTCAGGAACCTGTATAAATAAATGTTTAGATTATAAATATATAAGTACCTTCAATTCTTGTCTGAGAAGAGTTAAAGGTATTTTCGAAGCCTGTACTCCAGCACCTATTGAACCTAATTGCGATACCGTGGCTGGAACCGACATGTTCATTAAATCATTCCATGTCTTATCGTCTGCATCACTTGGAACTAAGAAATAAAAACAATAAAATAATGAAAAACTAACCCGTTACAACATAAAGCATTTGTTCATTTTGGTTAATTAGTATAGATAAAATACTAAAAATGTGTATGCATTTAGATTAGGAAACGTTTTTTTTTCCAAAATATTAATAGTTTAGAAATCCATGATAAAGACATAAAATACATTTAGGCATACTTCTGAATTCTTCCAAAGCAGCAAATGGAAGCAGAATTAAGAAATAAGGAAGTTGTACATGAAAATAGCATTTGAATGATCCTGAATGTGCATACAAAAACGAAAGGCAAAACCATTGGAACGTTCAGGTATTTTCAATTCTAATGAATGTATGCATATAATTATTTAATTAACAAACAGAAGGAATACAAAAATTATAATCTAAATGTTAAATATCACTATTTTATCAGTGTGGATAGCATATAAAAGGTATGCTAGGAGCATAATACCACTCAGCTTTGCTGTATTCCAGTTTGTGTTTGCTGAGAAAAAGTCCAAAGCAAGCAAATGACAGATGAAAAAGCACCACAATCGCAAAATTTCCTAAAAAATGACTGGTCGAGAAGATTTCTATGAAGTTTCATTTAATCCAGTCAGTGGATGCTGAGAACTTATCAAAAACAACGATGGAAACTGAGAAGGTATATATGTAGGAGGGGTTGCTTTGTTTAACATCACAAAATATGCACATAACCTTTTAGTGGTTCAACATTTTTATGGCGTTTCGGTGAATTCCATTAAGTGATTGCCGAGAAACCGGTCGGATTGCAATAACATCAGATTTTAGAGATTAAACAAAAACAAAACAAAAACATTAAAGCGATCAATGCTACTTATACGCACAGGTCCTCCCGGCAGTCGAGTAAAAAGACAAAGTTTCAATCAATTCTAGTCATTAATTGACGAGAAAAATTGGGAAACATTTTGGAAACTTAAGACAAGCGTCCCCGCCACTGAACAAACATTTTGTATTCTTCTAATATTTGTGTCCAACAAAGTGCCCAAGAATACTTCATTTTACCCAACGAATAGACGGTAGGCAGTCAATTATTGGTCTGTCACTAGAGCAAACCAATACACTCTCATCCGCTATGACGGATATTGTACCTAAAACGACTAAGTGGCCATATCTTTTGTTATAACTTTTATGATTAATAGAACATCGTGACCTCCAATTTATTCTATTGTTTAGGAAATAAATATCTATTGTTGTAGAATAATGCACGGTTTGAGTTCAAAAGTGTAGGAATATAATCACAATGTTTGCAAGATTTTTCATTTATCAGACTTCTAAATTACTCATTTATTATTATCAAGTTTGTGTGATAATATTACAGTAAATGGACCCCATTGGAAATGAGCTTTTGAGCTTGAGCTTAATGAGCAATCCTAGGGTAACATAAAACATACTTAGTAGTTTTATTATTATTTTTGGTGCATTTCTTTCTTGTGTTTTATTTATGCATGTTGATATATGTGACAATATTATCAATGTTCATTTATTACATGCTTTTCGGTGGTTATAGAAATATATCAGTGAAATATAAAACTGATATTTTCATTGTTTGCAATAGTGAAAATATCAATTATATATTTTTCACTGTTTTGAATTTAAACCCGGTACGTTGTTTCAGTGAAATACCAGCGTGTAAAGTGCTGGAAACCAATCTTATGACGTAACGCCGTAAATGACGTCACATTGTATTATAATTTGGCGCGCTTTTCACTTAGTATTTGGTTAAAATGTCTTTTTAAACGTTTCTTTGCGTGTAATAAAAAGAAAATATGTTTAGTTTAGTGTAAGATTGAAATATATTTCACCTTGTAACACCAAAAATTCACATTTCACGAATGGCGCAGCCACTCGTCAATATACCTTTTTATGCTCACCGATCAAGTACACTGAACTTAACAAATATCATCTATCCTGAAAAAAATCGATGCGATAGTCCTAAGTGATTAATTACAAAGCATTTAAAAGAAATATTCTACAATAATGCACTCAGAATTGATATCTACATTGTATTTCCATTGTAACACTTGAATAAAAAGTCATAGTTGAAATATGTGTTTTGTGGTTAAATTTGTTTTCGCTTCAGTTTCCAGTAGAAACATTCTTTAAAGGCTGTTCCAGCCGGCTGAAAAAACAAAACAAAACAAATATTGTCGTTCAGTTTACCGTTTTATAAACATTTTGTGAAAAACGAATTTTGGATACATTCTTTGTGTTTTTTGCATTTCACTTCATATTTTTCAAGCAAAGTACAGAAAATGTATAGTGAAATCAATGTAAAATCTAACTTAGTTTCAGATGTGATTTTTTTCTACAGCTCAAAACTGTAATTTGATCAAGAATAAAAAAAGATAAAAAGAGTAAGGTAAGGAAACCAGCATGTTTAGACAAACCTTGGTTTGATCTTAGTTGTAGAAATGGTAGGAATGGATATTTTTTAGCAAAAATATGCATAAAGTAAACAGATCTTTAGAAAAATTATGCAGAGGAGAAGCAAAAAATATAAGACGGAAATAAACAAACAATTTAAAGAGTTTAATTCCTGATACCTGCATTGTAAAAAAAATTAAAGGTCTGAAAAACAGTCATCCCAACTCATAATGGAATCTTCTTAATAAGTACTCCAGTGAAAGAAAAACTGTGATCAATTAAATTTTATGCGAGGGTTTTTATGATCATTTTAAGGAACTAAATAATGTAGACTTTCATAATGATGAACATTTTAACACATTGATCAGATAAGCAGCTACAATGAAGACATAAATTTACCATTTACAGTTAATACAATTCAGTCAGTTTTAAAGGGTTTAAAGAACAACAAATCTGCATTGCCAATGGATAATATCTTAAATGAATAAATTAAAATTTGCCTTGTTCAATGTTACCAATTGTTTGCAAACTATTTAATATTATTTTTGATTCAGGTTTCTTCCCTGAAATTTGGAGTAAAGGGTTAATTCTTCCTTTATACAAGAATAAAGGTGATATAAATGATCCTGACAATTACAAGGGAATAATAAGCTGTTTTTGTTTTTGAGCTGTTTTAGAAAATTATTTACATCCGTTGTGAATAGTCGCTTGAATAAATGTTTATAATCTGATAATATTCTTTGTGAAGAGCAGGCTGGGTTTAGAAAAAAATACAGTACAGTTGATCATATTTTTTTCACTAAAATGTTGAATAGATTTGTACTTGGCTGACAAAAGTAAACTATTTTGTGCTTTTATTGATTCTGTAAATAGACTTGCTTTATGGAACAAGTTGTAAAGTTCAAATATAGATGGTAAATGTTTTAAGACAATACACAGTATGTATGAAAATATAAAGTCCTGTATTAGAGTCAGTGACCATTTTTCTGACTTTTTCGCAAGTCTGTCTGGCGTCCGACAAGGAGAAAATGTATCTTCAGTTTTATTCTCTTTGTTCTTTAATAACTTGAATTCGTTCCTGTCTCAGAGATTTGAAGGTTTAACTTTCCTGTTTAACAGTGTAAGTCATACTTTAAGCACAGATGATTTTGAAGTTTATCTTAAATTGTTATGTTGCTTTATGCTGACGATACGGTTATTTTAGCTGAAAGTCCTAATGAATTACAAAAAGCATTAAATGCAATGTCTGATTACTGTAATACTTGGGGTTCGAAGGTAAACACTGCCAAAACAAAAATTGTTGTGTTTTGTAAAAGTAAAAAAAGTAAAAGGGGGTTGAATAATATTAATCCTCTAGAGTTTGGGGGTAACATACTTGAAATCGTAGATTGTTTTGATTATCTTAGGGTTCAATTTTCATTTAACGGAAAATATTAAGGCACAAAAAAAAAAACTGATTGATCAAGCTCGAAAAGCTATGTTTTCTGTGTTTACAAAGTCTCGGAAACTTGCTGTACCATTTGATATACAATTGAGTTTATTTAATGCAATGGTGGCTCCTATTATTTTATACGGATCAGAGGTCTGGGGGTATAAAATGTAGAGATAATTGATCGTTTCCAATTGAAATATATTAAATTAGTTTTCGGACTGAAGCAATCTACCCCGACATGTATGATTATAGCGAGTAAGAATTATTGCCTTCTGAACTATTGGGGCATATTGATTAATGATATAAAAGATAAAATTTGTTCTATGCTGTATTACATGTCAAAGAAACTATTTTAAATGCTTGAGAAAGACATATTTAGACAAGTCACATTTTCATAGACCTAACATTATTAAATTTTCAAAGTTAATGAATAGTGAAAGCAAAAATGTTTTACTCAATCTAGCAATATTCTGTAAGACAATTATTTTTGTGCTTAACAATACATATTGATATATATTTTTTTCATTTTGATCTCATTCTCCGATTCTAAATTGTTAAATTTTGAACACGTACTTTTTATATTCAATTTTGTTTTTTGGTTTTATTATGTACATAATTATGTTCATAACATTGCTATGGTTTCATTTTAATTATGTATAATCACTTTACTGTACAGCGTTCATGACAATCTCCTACACAGTGATCTCCCCTTATCAGTATAATTCTGCCAAGAGAGGTAATCACTGTGAGGAGTTTGCGTTCATGATTGAACTGAGTGTGTCGGTTTGAAAATACAGAGGGAAGAAATTAAATCGGCAAGTGCATTTGTTGTGAAATATATCACGCTTTCTGTCTTTTTTGTTTACATAAGTTATATTAGAGAAATCACCGATAGTGTTAGAATACAAACTAATATATTCATTTTAAGCATTGTGTGCCCCCCTCCCCTGAAACCGAGTAGTCGTTCAACTGCATGCATCACTGTTGGGTAGCATAAAATAACGATTTTGATCATTACTTGCGCGAGCTAAAAGCTCATCTCTCTGTTCTTTCATTCTCTGTATTTCATTTAATGTTCTACGTCTTTCTTCTTCCATTTCTCTTTGCTCTTTTTCATACTGCTGTTTCAATGACTTAGCTTCTTCCTTTTCGATTTTTAACTCTTCTGTTTGTTGTTCGACAGTTGCATTCCGTGTGTTAACATCCGATATATTCTGTTGTAACTTTCCTGTAAGCGCAACATACCTACCAAAAAAATGAAAAATAAATGTGTGCTTTGTTAGAAGTTATTTGCTAAATATATATACATATCTGATTATCTAGTAGAATTTTATATGCCTTTTTGTATGAATTCCAAAACTTATGTAAATCAGTTGTTAAATAAAACAACGAAATGGACACATGAAAAAAGGCCGCGACTCAAATACTAGTCTCCGGTCTGCCAGTTTTCAAAAATAACATAAACATATTGAAATCAAATTGTTCCAAATTGATTTATTTTCAAATCAATTGATTTTGTTTTCATTTAAACTGTGAATGTTTTGCATTTTAATAAATTTTCAATATCATTTGAAGTTGGTTAAAACAGGTCTAATAATACAAGATTTTATATTTTAAAACACCGATACATTGATATATAATGCATAGTTTGCTATTACGGGCCTTTTAAGTCTTGATACATTGAGTCACTTGGACTGTTATTTAATTTTGATTTGCTATGCGGGAAAACTAAAATTTGAATTTCGACAGCAGACACGATTTAGACGTTGAGGAACTAGTAGTTAGTATGGAAATAATTTGCTGTTTTTTCATTTTATTTGGATAAATTGTTAAAAAAGAAGTACTTATTTTATGATCGAAGTTTTTATTATTGAAATAATTCCTTAGTTAGTTTAGAAGCATGGAAACCAATAGTTGAAGCTCATTTTTATATGAATATATCTTAGGTAATAGCTGTCCCTTCGTAAAACACAATGTTTTTATTTCGCATTGCAACGATGCACGGACTGAAAGAGGGAACATTTATCAAGCAACAAATCATAATAATATATTTACATTTGTGTCTATTTTAAACAATGCCTCTCTATAGATTCAAGATTCAAATAACTTTATTTGTGTTCTAACGCCTCCGCCCCAAAATGCATAGTATACATACAACAAGGTTGAAATATGGTTGCGTCACCTAAACAATGATTATAAATGTGAACAAAGACTAGTTGTTTATATTATCCATTAAAACATATACATAAAACAAAAGCTTCATTTATGTGGTTTATATCACGTGTACTTATTAATACATAAAAATCATGTAGTTTTTTTTCCGCCAAAATACCAATTGTCATGAATAAATAATTATCACGGACGTGCTTGTATTATTTACATACATGTATAAAGAAAACATGGAACTCACAATCATTACCGTTGACAAATTCTGGTACGAATATTTAATTTTGTCTCAGCCTCCTGTTTAACATCTTAGGTTAACTTAACCTTGAGGACATAACATTTTCGCTAAATATTTTTCTATTTATTTATTTTTGTATTTTTGTATTCACATGTATAAAAATGAACGATGAGAGATGGCAAAAATAAAATATTTATTTTGAAATTTCAAATGTGTTCTTGTTTTCCTTCATTAAACTATTCTGCCAATAACAGAACAAACATGTAAAAACACCTGTTTCTTCCTTTCCTACACACTGGAAACTTGCTAATGTAAGTCCTTTTTTTTAAAAAAGTCTGATCTAACACGTCCCGAAAATTACCGCCCTATCTCATTGTTAAGCTGTATCGGAAAATTGATGGAAAGATGTGTTCATAAGTATCTATCAATAATAGTTTGCTCACTCCTCATCAATCAGGTTTTTGTAAGAGGTGACTCAACAGTTATTCAATTAGTTTACCTATACAATGATATTTGCCAAGCTCTCGATCAGAGTAAAGAGGTAAGGGCTGTATTTTGTGACATCTCATAGGCTTTTGATCGAGTATGGCATCAAGGTCTTCTCTACAAACTATCTTCATTGGGTGTAAACGGGTCGCTTCTTCGATGGTTCTCCTCCTATGTGTCTTCCAGGCGACAAAGAGTCCAGTACTCAGCATGGGTTTCTACCCTCAAGGTTCAATTGACATTACGCCATAGAAGAGATTGCTCCGCACACCCGGTCATTCAGAACCTTAGACAAAACACGGTTTACAGGAAACTATTATGCCACTAAAGTGACTAATGAATTAATCTTATATAAATTGGTATATAATGCTTTTTTTGGATAGTTCAATGTATTATGGTATTTAAAAAAAGTACCAAATAACTGCATTCATGCATTAATTATGAATAAAACGTCTGGCAAAGATCTTGTTAAATTTCTCGTTGACTTCAAGGAAGATGTTTCTGACAAAATATCATTTTAGTTTACAAATTCAAATATGAAGTAGCGGAACATATAAACAGTAAAATTATATCAATAACACAGTAGCATTTACAAATGTTTTGTTTTCGTTTTATGTGTGAAATCACTTATATATAATGCATTTGTGCATAACTTGTTAAAATTGAATGAGAAAATTGCCCTTGCGTAACTTTGTAGAATGATATATCATTATACATGTATGTATATTTGTACATTAGAGATGTTTCGTGATAAAAGGCAATAAATTAAAACCGTGCTCAGGTATGATTTTAGATATTTAATCTTAATTCATTGAGCTTTCATAGAAATATTTAGGTAGGATAATTTCACATAAAATATTCATTGCATATTCTCTCATTTTATTTGCAAGTTCTTTTTTATACTGCAACATTTTATTGACACTATGTTAAGAACGAACAAAATATGTCATATTAGACCTTATAATGTATCATGTGATTATGACTAGACATAATTGTAATAAAGGAAAGAAAAGAGTATTTGTTTATTTTTTTCCTTGTTTAATGCATTGTGGTATAGCCAGGCTTCATAACCTCTGATCCCAATTCAAAATTCCATTTTATTTATTTCCGCCCATTGTTTTCTCGTTAGGGCAAACGCAATCATTTTACTTAAGGACCATATGCCGCTTTTTATGGAAAGGCACTAACGTGTCACATTGAAGGTTCCATGATAACCGACATATGAACACATCTGCGGATGTTTCAAAATTCCAAATTTTATCAGGTCATGTGAAATGTTGAATACGACTTAAGCCGGTGCTAGGGGGCATGGACGGTTACTTGCACATTCCATTACCGTCCATGATCAGGCTCAATCAAACCGAGCCTGCAACATTTTCAATTCTTTCGTTTTGTACGTTCTTTGGGGATTCTTTATTTCTCTCTATTTTAACTTTCGTCAGAGATGTAGATAACATCTAGATAATTTCTATGTCTCTGCTTTTGTACCTGCTATATAACTTATCTTCACATATACAAAGTTACAGATACAGATTTTTGTAAAATGAACTAACTGACTCCATCTGTCAATATGTCAGGATAGTTGGTAACTTTGATATACCGATTAAATAGCTTTAAATTGACAAAAATCAAATAATTTCAATATAAATATTGCTGCACTATTGTCTTATACAAATAGCTTGTCTAAAGAAAATGGCGGATTTTGCAGACATCTTAGCGTGAAACTGCAGACATCTGAGCGTGAAACTGATAACGATCGCCCACTGGCTTAACTGTAAGAGCCCCTGCAAGCTTGATTGACAGGCGGCGTAATGTCAATTCTTGGTCCCCTTTCGTTTCTTACTACATCAACGACATCGTAAATGACATAACTTCTAACATAAAACTTTTTGCGGATGACACGAGTTTGTATATAGTCGTAGATATCCCACTTACTGCAGCAACCAGTCTTAACTCAGGCTTAGATCGGATACATTCTTGGGCCAATACTTGACTTGTTTCTTTTAATCCAGAAAAAACAAGAACAATTACTTTTTCAAGGAAATTATCTAAACTGTCTCACCCTACACTTAGTTATAGCTCAGGGCACATCACATAAACATCTTGGTGTAACTTTATCTCATGATGCCCGTTGGAAAACTCATATTCATCTATTACTTGATAAGGCCTGGAAAAGAATCGGACTACTCAGAAGTTTTAAATTTCTTTCATCATGAAGAAGTTTAGAACGCATGTATTATTCATTCGTCCGCCCACTTCTTGAATATACTGATGAAGTCTTGGATAACTTAACTGACGAACTAAATAAGGAAATAGAATCCGCTCAAAATGAAGCAGCCGCAGGCCTAGCAGGCGCTAGGAAACTGTGTAACATTAACAAATTCATCAGTGAACTCGGTTGGGAATCGTTAGAAAATAAAAGAAACAAACACAAATCAATCTTATTGTATAAAATGAAAAAAAAAACATATATCACATTCTTATCTTTAAAATCTTCTAACTCCCACCCAACAAAGTACATATAACCTTAGACATATTGCCGATTTATCTCCAGTTCCAATCAGAACACATTTATACTCAAAATCATTTCTACCTTCTATTATTCGAACCTGGAATTCTCTTCCTGAAACACTTCGATCTAGTCCAACAGTAAGCTCATTCAAGTCCAAAATAACTTCGAATATCAAAAGACCACTTTACTATAATACAGGCACACATCAAGACAAGTAGAGGTTTTGATGCTAAAGCATCAAGTCGCCGGATAGAAAAATGATTGTATTATCATAAATATAATGAAATATCAGTTTAATTAATGGTTCAAGTAAAAAGAAAAAAGGAACAATATGTTGAGTACGTGTTTATTCATAATGAACATCACATTTGAAGCAAACTTGCTTAGCAATACTGTCAAGGAACTGTTATAATTATTAAATAAGCAAGCATTGTTTGGCAATATTGACCTGAGAGTCATTAATTTTCGGGAGGTGTTTCGTTAGTTTACGTAACTTATGATTAATGCTAAAAATGTTATTGATAGTATAGATATCGATATTAAATCAATTAATATTGCTCGATTGCCTAGTGGTAAGTATGACGAAGTTGTGACCTAGTAGGCCAAGTTCGAATCTTTGAAAATCCTTTTTGTAGTTTTCATAAAAATATTTTTTATTATTTCTTTTAACTTTATGAAACATAAGTTGATAAAGCAAGATGACTTTGAAAATATACATGTTTTAATTATTGCATGCAACAACGCAATTCTGTCGTAAAAGTGGTATCTGCATAAAAGAAATTATTCTTATGCGCTATCGAAAAAATATATAATTAAGTTGAAATCAATATTCCTGTCGTTACATACGATATAGTTAACGTTTAATTGCCTTTGATACAATATCAACAAAAAGATATTTTATTAGTTTTTTTTTCTATATATCTAATACGATTCCGGATCCCTACCGTCATACCGTTTTGGTAACCTGCGCGACGGAAATCGACGGAATATAACGAAGACGACGATTCAATAAATGTGCCTCGTTAGCAATCTATTTTGTGATGTTCAACCTAAACTAAACTATTGAACGTTGACAGAAAGGGCCAAGTTTATAAAGGTTTTAAAAATTTATTCCTTATGAGTATACAGACCTTTCTAATGATATAAAATATGAAACTGATTAATGAAAAATAACTTTGTAATTATTTATACAGAATTACTATGATTTGCATCATCAGCCGCCATACCTACAAGCTACCTGTATGTCTTATCAGCAATCTGTTACTATTAATAGATTTTATAACAATAACATACAACGTGTAGTCACGTGATTCTTACAGAACAGGGAGAATCTGTTTATAATTAGATAAAATATTGAAATATAATAGGTCTCATAAGATATAAACAACCAAATAATTTAAAAGTCATTTAAAATATCATTCATGATTTTTCTATCATAAAATAGCAACGCTTGACACTTAAAATAAGTAAAAGTTTCCCTAAATTCAATGACTGGTCCATAGGGATACATTATTAATTCATTTTATGACAATTGTAATGTTGCTTTTAAAGATGTCAATATTTGTATATTTCATTTCATTGAGCAACGTAATTTTATGTTTGAATTTTTAGGATTATGAAAATTAATTGTGGTCCTTAGTTGTTCAATAATTGTTTTGTTTTTATATTCAAATTTTAAGGCCTTCTCCTACCATAGATATAATATTAAACTGTTACAAATATACATGTAGTCGCCTGTTTCTACCGGCGACTAATCAAATCCTTCACACAAGATTAAGATTAGGATGTAGGTCATTGAACGAGGATCTTTTCGAAGGTTTATTGTGGGAAGCCCAATATGCACACGCGGAATGAGAGAAACTGTATCTCATTTCTTATTGCAATATACCGAATACAGAAATATACGTCAGGATTTCTCACTAATCTAAATTGTCCGGCTACAGTAAATAACCATCTTTACGGCAACGAACATCTCTCACTTGATGAAAACAAAACCCTCTTTCAGAATGTTCAAAAATTCATTACACAATCGAAGCGCTGTTTGTAAGAATTACTATCAGTGTGAATAAACTTGGTCTTTCCGTTCCCTCATATATCTTTACATGTTAATCTTAAGTATTAAACTTCTATATATTCAATCATATCTTTCCTTTCTTCCTTTCTTGTAACATTTCACCATAATTTACCTTAGTTTCTCTAAAGTGATAATTCAACAATCAATTATTCTCTTATTCTTCGTTGTACATTCAGAGCATACATCTATGAAGAATAAAGGATTGAGGTTGTTACTACAGTTAATTGAAATTAAAATAATTTTTAAACATCGAATAATATGTAAAACATGTTCTTCAAATATTTGTGCAAATTATATGTAATCAATAAAATACATGCATTCATTTCTTATTGAAAAATTTGACTTAGATTTTATAGAAAGTATATTTCTAATTACCTCCCTTTATTTACATGAATGTTAAATTCGGTAATATCTTTATAAATAATGCTTTTTGGGACTTACAATATTGATAAATCTTAATTTGAGCATCATATTTATGATATAAAGCCATAAAAATATGTTACAGGATCTTTAAAAAAAACATGCACCCAAAAAGTAAGCGTAATACACAACGTTTGCATGTTTTCATTGAAGCGCGCCGTAAACCAATCTCCTACGCAATGATCTCCCCTTATCAGTCTGCCGAGCAAGTTAATCAACCGACTATTCAAGGTTTTTCACATTATCATATATATGATTTTAACTTAACATACAAAAGTCATTCTAATGACAAAGGATGTTCCTAAAATATGCATCAAAATAACCGATTATTTAAATTTCTTATTTAAAAACTAAACAATCTTAAAAATTGAATCACGTGTATGTAAACTGACATGCACACTAGAAACTGATCACTGCAACTCAACCTTACTCATGTAACGTTTAACTATAGGTCAATTTGATAAAATAAAATCAACCACTGACTACTGTCTTACTCATGCGGTTTATCTAACCGTAACGTCTTGCCGTCACTTTGCCGCCGCTTAACTACGTTAGAAGTACAGTTAACAAAAAACAAAACAAAAAAACGTATTTGTTTAAAGTGTCAACGAACAATAAGATTTTAGACCTTTTAGTTATTTATTTTAATTCTATTGAATTTGGAAAATAGTTCAATAGTAATTTGATTTTATTCATTTCTATACATTCTTTGCTTATATTAGTAAAAATTTGTATTTTCGTTACTAATATTTCCGATGTCCTGCTTTACCATCCCTTATGTAAGCGATTTAGTAATCATAGCAATTTTGGAGAAATTTATTATGCTAATTGAAAATTTACCTGAACGATTTTTATATGGTGATTGTTTGTTTGTTTGTTTGTTTCATTTTACGCCTTTTCCAACAGTATTTCAGTCATATAGGCGGGTAGTTTCCTAACCATCGTTCCTGGAGAGTTACACCAGTACTAGACTACCTTCTTCCGCGCTTATATGGTGATATCTTGGTGATTTTATGCTCTATGAGTATAAGAGACCAGGTAAATGGTACAAACGATTCCGTCTAGCGAACCGGGTATGTAGACTTCAATCAAGAATGTTAAAAATTACACTGTCACTCCTGCTGTAATTTATCTATCTGATATCATTTCATCTTGTTTGTTACTAGGTAACTTACGCCCAAAACATTTAGAGCTCATTACCAACATAACGAAACAAAAGTTCAGATCTTCTTATGTTTACATGTAAATATGGCTGATCGATAAGAGCTCACCTTCTTGTGACCTTCCAATCAGCCAATCAGTGGCCGCGTTCGCGTTCATAATTTCTATTTTAATTATTGGGAAACCAGGAGAGTGTAGCGATTTTCAGGTTTTCAAGATAATATACAGTTCAGGTAAACAACAATGGCTTATAAAAAGACTAGAATCGACGCTTAGATACCAAAAATGATAGTATACATGTTTCAAAGAAATTTTATTCCAAATATCAACTTCAGGTTTTTTTCTAAGGCAACATTGATGACTTGTCTGACTTCACGGGTAATTCAAAATAATTTTCTGTTAGGTTAGCTAAAATTAAGTTTTCGGAAATGTAAATCGGCTAGAATTACTGGCGATTAGATCTAGTCATGTATACATAAGAAGAGCTGAACTTAAGTCAGAGTGAGCAGAGTATTAAACGTTGTAAAAGAATGAATTACCTATCTCTGACATTTTCAGCTTCTGTTTTCATTTCTTTTGCTTTGTCTGATATTTGTTCGAGCATATCTCTGATTATTTTACTTTTCTGTAATTAAAAAATATGATATTTCTTATTTTTGTAATTATTATTCTATTCGTAAACTACTTTGATATACCACAATAATGGTTGTGCATGTATTTAATGTAAAGCTTTAATAATGTTGCCTTGCAACACATTTAACTTTGTTGATATTTTATTATCAACATCAAATTGTGCTAATAAAACTCATTATTGTTTGAACCTCAGATAACAAGAGATACTTTACCCTCTTTTTGATGACTTTTTTCATCATCGGCATCATTTCATTTGCTACATATTCTGCTGTTGTCATGAACTGCTTCATAAGTCCTGAGCACATTCCATGTTGCATTCTTGAATGTCTGTGACTATATCAAATGCGTATGAAAAAAGCCCGTTTAGTACACTTTCAAACAGACAAAACTTGGAGGTTGAGACCTTTATGAAATTACTTGCAACTGTCATGTCCGCTGAAACGATATTGCGTCTTCTGGCAACAAATACAAAATCAAATTATTTTTTTTCTGAATAATTTACTCTTTATAATTTGTGTACACGCTCGGCAAACTGTCTCTCCACTTCAAAATTAGGTAAAACGAGTGAACGGCATTTCAGAGATAGAGCGGAAGGCCGATTTAAACCATGTAAACGGGTAATTGTATATATTGTTTAGGTTTTATTATCTTGTTATTCATTTAAACTGTATTTTTTCGAAAAACGGAAAATGTAGTTCCGTGTAGGATTGAGTTAGGCTTCCAATGATCTAAGCTGTTACAAAAAGAAAATTATTTTAAGCCCGGGAGAACTTTTCTTCCTGACGAAGCGGACGACGATTTGTAGGATATTGAACTTCCCAACCATTGAAATGCCATAATCTTCGGATTTCTTGAATAAATGTATTAGAAAAATATCAACCCGTAATAAGAACTTGTCCTTCGTGCAACTGAAGGATTTCTTAAATTTGTAAATCGATATTTTTCGAAAGTAGTGGAGCCAAATGGCAAGAGATGGAGCAAAAGGGTCGATGTTGAGCACAAGGCGATATTAATTTGACGTATAAGGAGGAGCATAGTCTATGAATTTTTATATATAAAAGCTATAGAAGTTAGAAAGACGTGATAAAGTGTTGAGGCCGAGATATACGAGGGTTGTTCAAAAAGTAATAGGACTAAGAGTCTTATGTCTCCATATTCCATTAGATTTTAAATATTTTCATATCCACGGCAAAAGTTAATTGTTTTCTACAACTTCAGCATAAGTTTATTGAATTATTGCGCTAAACGCGTGTTCCCTGTGATATTAAATAACCATGGTAACACGCACCCGGCGCAGCGCATCAAAAATATTTTGACGCTAATTTGTACTTTCAGTTTATTCATAATATGTTGTCTTTTCCCCCTAATATTTCACCAACACATTTTATCATATTAAAGTGTCATGTTGTCCAAATTTGACGTCATTCAGACAAGAAATCGCTAAACTATAACGTTTAAAACAGCAGTGATAATCGCGTTAAATGTAGAAAAATGACGTTCGTTGAAAAACTTAAAATGTGTACGATCATTAAATTTTGCCAACAGATAGGCCCTACTCCTTCAGCTACGTATGAAAAGATTAAATTTTCACAGAACAATAATTAGGCAATTTGGACACACGTTTTCAGCTGAGAAAGCAGTTCAAAGACGGTGAATATGAGATCACAGACACGAAAGGGCTAGGGAGAAAGCGGAAAATTGACGGACGTTAGAGACGTTAATTGCAATAGCGCTACAAAAGTATCGGCGACATACAGTCCGCGAACTGTCCGGCATGTTTGATGTTTGCATCGGGTATACTGTTTCAGTTCTAAGAAAATTATTGAATAGGGGAAATATGTTTTAAACACTATTTTATTTTATTAGATATATATATATATATGTGTGTGTGTGTTATCATTGAATAAATTTGATAATGATACGCGGTAATTATTGGTATCAATTTTTATCGATTTCGTTTAATAAATGATAGCCTGTGCTCAGAAGAAGAGAATATTTTTCAATTAATAAGCATTTTTAATTTACTGTACATAATCATATTGTTTTAAGAATGTAAGATGGCATGTGTAAATAAATATTATAAATCACTTTGTCATTTACATTATATGTCAATGCCCGTTTAGCTTCCACAATACTCAAAATCACGAGATCAAACCGAAAGTTGCCGGCCACCGGGCATGTTTCGAATAAAGAAATGAAAATGCGATTGCTTTTTTTTCGCTACATCTCCACAGATGAGTTATGGTTATAGTTACATGATTCAAGCACCTAGAACATTGTGGAGAATAATTTCAGAAAGAATGACGCTGTTTACATTTTGAATTTATTTTGCGACGTCATGAACGTCATTTATTTAACAATTAGCGTGCGCCGGGTCGCGTACCCCTTGTCATTTGTAAGTTGTACAGAATTGTTGTTTTTAAACATATTGTATTGATTTTTTCACTGTATATAGAGGACAAATTCCGATATTCGATTTTTGTAAACTCGTGTACGTAGATGAAAAAATGTGAACAGTAGAGCTGCAGTCCTATTACTTTTTGAACAACCCTCGTATATACACCTTTAAAAGACAACTAATAAAATCCTTTCATAATAAATGTAATCGCGAAGGTGTCACTTATGACTGCCGCATAGATTCCATTATTTAAGTTCCACATTTGGATGAGGCCCGATCATTGAATCATATGTATGGCGTAATACAGGATGCCACTTATTCGATGTCAATCATGATTTTTGACACGGTTATGCTCATTTAAAAACGTGTGTCCGTGCAAATTCCACAAAATCGAATACTTTCTACCGCGAACAATTTTTTAAGAGCAAGTACGTGTAACGCGATGGTTCCCGCCAAAATGTTATGTTTTTCGAAAAATTAGATATTCGAGGTACAGAACAGAAAAAAATGATGAAATACACGGGACAATGTAGTCCTGTAAATATGACGTGGCTTTGAGATATTTTTGCTTCTGGACAAAGGAACGTCATATTGCTCTAAAACGCATAGCACGTTCCGCCAGAAAATCAGGCGGAACGAAAAAACAATTAAGACAGCGTGTGTTTACATTAATTTTGACCTATATATGAACAAAACTAAAAAATGAATACATGTACCTTTAAACAAAATAATTAAACTGTCACATTCGAAAAATCATAATGAAATCCTCTCAAGTCATTAAATTTCATATACAGCTGATAAACAAATGGCCGCCATACTGTGTGCGAAATCTGATTGGCTAATTTAAATGCAAACGTTTAACTGAGTCAGACAATTGTAATGGAATATTACTTAACGAAATAATTGCCCATGCACCGTCAGTGTGTTTGAATATATTTTTCCGTTCAAAAATTTGGAATCAATCTGTAAAGCGCCTTACTTAGCCAGTATGGCCGATAGACAAAAATAGATTGATGTTTATATTTTAATTTAAATTGATAAGTACATTGTTTGAGAGTTTTTGTTTATGATTGAGCATGAAATTGATAGAAAAGAACATAAGCTTTTATATAAAGATTGAAAGTCAAGACAATAGGCATTTTTAATTTTTTTATGATGCTATGCGTTTATGAGCAATCACTATTAGACGTCAGGGGCTTGACCGACATAAACTATAACAAGCCTGTAACGTCTGATATATTAGACTAGGGACAATGAAATTAAATCAATCACTACTACCGAGTTCATTTTACTATGACTTTCTGTAATTAAAAGCTCTAATGTACATGTTCAGGGAAAACACAAATAAGCCACGTTTTCATGAATTTGTAAGGTGGGGATACTCTATGAAAATGGTTGACAAGGTGTCAGTCGTTCTATGGAATTAACAAGTGGTTCAGTAATGTTTCAAGATACTTCGTCCCTTATTTAACATTGTTGTTTAGTTTATTATTTTCCTCTCAAAGTGTTAATTAGAAATGTTTACTTTTATGATAAAACACTGCCGTACAAATCTTGGTTTAAGAAAAACTTAAGTTAAAGAACTATCTTTAAAAAGTGGTTTCTTTATTTAGAGAATCTATGAATAAAACGAACGTAATAAAAAAGGCAGTGCTCAGTCGGTGTACGGACAAAAATAATCAATAATTGATAGACCTAGTAGAAATAAATTAATATATTATCATATTTCTCCGACTTCACATTTTAGTACGTCTATCTTAGCTTTAATGATTTTATTTATAGAAATTCGTAGGCCAACTTGATATCGCCTCGCGCCCAACAACCGACCTTTCGCTCCATCTCTTGCCATTTGGCTTCACTACTTTCGAAAACAATCTATATACAAATTTAAAAATTCCACCAATAGTAATTTATTTTGCACGAAGGATTAGCTCTTGTTACGGTTGATATTTTTCTAAAACCTCTTTTCTAGAAATCCAAAGTGTAGAGCGTTTCCATGGTTGGAAATTTGATATTTAACAAATCGTCGTTCGCTTCTTCAGGGAGAAAAGTTTTCCCGGGCTTAATATTATTTTCTTTTTGTAACAGCTTAGATCATTGGAAGCCTAAATCAATCCTACAAGAACTACATTCATTTGATCGATTTTTGAAAAAAAATACTTGAATGAAATATAAGACAAAAACATAAACAAAAGTTACAATTAGCCGTTTAAATCGGCCTTCCGCTCTATCTCTGAAATGCCGTTCGCTCGTTTTACCGTACACCACAATTTTGAAGTAGAGCGACAGCTTGCCGGGCGTGGTGTATGTATGAATAAATATTTGCTGAATGTTTTACCTTTCCTGCCTCAACAGGATGTTTCTTTAGTTGAAGATAACATACTTCCAGAAACTTGCCAACTTCCAATTGTGAAAACTGTAGCCTTTGGAGTGGACCAGAAATGTCCAGTTCATCGGTTGCAACTCTTGTCTACATAAACATAACACAATGCAATGAGTTAGTTTTGAATTCATTTTAGCAAACAGCTTCTTAAAGCAGCTGACCTCCAGAAGATAGCAGAAAAACTGTCGTCTTGCTAATATTTCAAAATTCCCCCATCTCAAAAACATTATATTGTTGAAAGAAATCGAAATGACACTTCAAGATGTTCATATTTTAACCATATTGCACTGAAAACAAACATTTCTCGTTTCCACCGACGGGAAATACCTTCTTTTATTATACCACGGAATTCTTTCATCCGGTATCACGTGATCGTACAGGACAATATCGCGACCTATGCTCCGGAACGCACGGAATCCGGAATTTTATCAAACATACAGGGATACGAATAACTGTTTTTGTTTTTATATTTGTAGTAATTCATGGCACTAGAAATAATAATTGATTAATTATTTCATATATATGATGACCAATTTATCGATTTAACCTTTCGCTTGAAAAATGACAGGGGCCTACTTAATGACGAAAATTGATAAACGATCCCGGGCATACCGGATAGCGGGATTTTTCCGTATCACTGTTGTGACACGTGAACGATCTTCTCCTATTTATATTGGCTACTGCGTTAGTAACGTAGTCGATTATGAAAAAGAAAACCCGATATATTAACGCTTTTGTCAACATTCTTTCTTGAATTAAGGTGTCAGTAATGATGGATTTATACAATAAACCTAACTAGATCAGTATTTACCATTTACTTGAAATTTTATTTCATTTTTTTCATTTTACCATCTGGAGGTCAGTGGCTTTAAAAGGCATGAAAGCGATTATTTTTTTAAATTTCATTTCCTTTTCAAATCACTCTTATTGATTCTGTTTAGAAAGCCATTACATTAAACATTTTGAAAACAAAAATAATAAAAAAAATAACATACCGCATGATTTGCACACTACACGGATCTGTTATTTTTGTCAATATTTACCTTCAGTACAGTGTGGTTAGGGAATAAAAAGTATTGACACAGCATAAAATCATTTAATACATAATGAATCAAGGAACCAACTTTTTACTGAAAGACATATAAGCTTAACATTTGATATACACAATTAATGTCATTTCATGACATGAAATGAATATCTACATTGTAAATCAAAATTGCTAAAAACATCACAATCAAAATTTTAAGTCGAAAAAGAAAGAAATGACTTAGATGATTATTATATAGCTAGAAAATGAATAGACAAAAGAGTTTAACATGTATAGATTCTGTTCAAGATAAATAGAAACATTAAATAAATTAACCACATTTGGTATGTATGTACATTTTTGTTTAAAAGCTTGCTGAATATACTAAGTGATAGCCGGACAATATCAATATGCACTATATAAACACAATTTTTTTAAAACATAAATGCGTCATTAGACATTGTCACACATATGAGTGTTTCCAAAGATTATAGGGCCCGACAGGTCTGCCAAGAACAGCCTATTTGACGTCAGTTAATGGCTCGAAACTTACATGGAGATCCCTATAGCCAATTCATGATAGATAGTAAGTCTAAAATGATGTGTACCACTAGTAATGTAATTCGCATTTTTATTACATTATGTACAAGAACAATCTCCGTGGAAAATTAACATTTAACATAACGATAAGTTCGAGTAAACAAACAGTTATGAAAAAGACAAAAGTTAACAATTTATTTGGATGCGACGAACATGGTTAACATTTTTAAATAAAGGTAAGTATACTATGTAGATAAATGAACAATATTTACCAAACGTTATGTTTCGTTATATGAATATATTTAACGTTTGATAAATAAATCCGGAATGACTTGTTACCTTAAATACAGTTGCCCTTTTATTAACTCTTTTATACATGTATTTACCCTTCTGAACTGTTTCAATAAATTGAAAATTGAGTGTAGTAATGCATTTTAAAAAAATTTAACATTTCAGACTTTATTTGAATTCATTTTTTCTGTTAAATCTATGATGTGTATTGCTTTAGCCTTACATACATTTATGTGAACATGTGCATGTGTCATAGCTCAATAGCCCTTGCTAATAATCTAAGTTTTAATGTATAGCAAAACGTGAATGTGCCACACGCTGACGCTTGGCTTGAAATTCATGAACAGTATATCATTAAAAATGCAAACCAAATAGATCGCCCAAGACGACAATTTTATGTGTTTTTTAATAGTACAAATAAGTTAAGAAGCAATACGAGTATATCTTTATGAATTTGGCATTGAAAGTTAATAGTTTTAAAAGAGAAACATATTATCGTATATGGGGCAAATGCTCTGCTTACTTTCTAGATGTTAATCTGTTTTTGTTAAAAACAAAACACATTGTTACAAGATGTGAAAAAAAAAATAAAACGTTTTTTTTTTCAAAACTTTATCAGTTTTAACGTCTCCATATTTGTATGTAAATGAATTGATCCATATTATGTAGAAAATTTTCCTTCACATCAGTTGTGGATGTTTTGCTCCAGGCACGCTTTGCATTTCGACCGAAGGTAACATGCTTCTTTCCACAATTTCCCATTTCTCCTGTGAGCATTAAATAAATAGAAACATATCATTAAATCAATTCATTTTGAAATTCTAAAATAAGGAAAGCAAAATTCAATAAACAAACTCGTTGCTATAAATTCCCTTTCTTATTTATTGAAGCTTTTACGAGTATTTTGTACCTTCGAATAAAAATGAAATTAATATCTATTTTACAATCATGGCAAAATGACAAAACTTTACATAATGAAAACACACATGTAACTCTTGATATAGTGTCCCTTTAGATTTATATACATTGACAATTATTATGAAATTATGTAATATAAAAATCATTCATGTATGATACTATTCAAATTCAAATGTAGTAAGGTAAGCAGGTTTATGCTCAAATATCATCAGTTAGTACAGGAGCAATTAACAAAAAGTCAATGTATTGTATCGTCGGTTTTGGGACGATATTATGAGTTGAAAACGCTACAGTGCGAGTCGTGTTTGGTTTAGTTACTTTTGCGTGTTTAAGCGGTGTGGCACCGCCATTTATAAATTTTGTAAAAGATTTGGCTGTAGATGTCTAGAAAGTCACAACATTGTATGTATTTTTGTTTTTTCCACTCACAGACTGTTACTATATATGATTTACGTATATACATTGATATATTGTTTTGTACTTTGCTACTGTTTGGTGAAATAAGTTTGTAGATTCGTACTTTAAATTCTCATAACAAATTATATAGAATTTCATATGGAACCTTTTTTCAGCGAAGATGCATAAAGTTTATATTATTTAACCTTAAGTAAAGTACGTTAATTTCTAAATTGCAAGTAAAGGTTTATGAACTAAATTACCAGTAGAACTTTGCTTCATTTGAGATGAATATATGACTTTGATAGAAATTTACCTATAGTACTAAGTATTTTCTTTTTATATATTTTCATCCTTTCTCACACACACACATGTACTTATTCACATCCACACGATATTCAATAAAGCTGGTTATACTGTCTGATAGTAGTTGTGTTAGTTTTTTCACTTTTACGAGGCAGAACAGTCAACTAAAATATTTGCCTATGCAATTTGTGATGGGCGACAGAGAAAGTTGTCCGACAACACAACAAATAAATACAAAAAAGACAAAAATAGCACTAGAACGAAATTTAGCCATCAACTGAACGAATTTTTTTTATCATCTTGGATATGAGACCGCGCATGAAATTAAAGAAAATAATGCATCCCATTGTAATTAAACCTATTACAAGGTGTTAAACGTTAACCGCTTGCTGTAACAATTGATGACAAGCGTTATTTTACGCACGCGTAAAATGGTTGCGAAGAACTGGTCAGTTGTGCAGTGCATACCTTGAAAAGAGCCGAATAATACAACCTTTACGAACGTCTATTTAGATCTGCGCAGTTGCGGAATTGAAATTACATCCTACACATATAAACTCATAAATAGGTCCAAAGAGAAGACGCACCTATCAGCAGCCAGTGATCATAACGAGGCATTAGCAGCTATGGTCAAAATGTGTGTTGAAGTTGTGAATAATCGTCCAGACTTGTGGCATACGTTTTTCAAGAAAAAGAAGAATCCATTACTTATTATAGCTTTATAATAAGATACTTTAAGTGTTTAATATTGTTTAATATTGTGGATGTCAATTTAGAAGTTAGGAACATTACATAAACCTGCATTTTCCTGTTGTCAAGAATACAACATTTAAGTGTTTGAAATTGTGGATATCAATTGAGAAGTTAGGAATATGGTGATAAATGGTATGTTTACTTATTCATTTTTTTTTATTTTGATTTTATACGGAAAATTAAATTACCGTTTCTGTTTGGCAGATGTCGGGACATCACAGGCAATTTAAACAAAATGTACCTGTATAATTATACATTAGAAGACTACTTTTATGGCCTCATTTTGTCTGAACTCCATATTTGTTCAATAATCTTGTGCAAAAAAACACGGAAAAGTTGAAATTGCCTGAACAACACAGGCAAAAGGCACACTTGCTCGCTATAATACCTAAACACCATGTAAAGCTATAATTGTCTGAACACCAAAGGCAAAATGCATATTACCTTCTGGGACTAGTCTTAAGTACAGAGCGTTTTTGATGGCGGAATGTCTACTTATTTGACTTAAAATTAAATTATTATTAGTTATTTATTCATTCTTTATTTGTACCGCTATTTTGAATGAATGAACTTCTAGAGATGGACATAAGAGTTCAATTCTTTCAGAAACATTGACCAAAATTAGACTGACGGCCAAGAAACCAATCGTCCAACAGTTCCTTATATACATGTCAAAATAGTTATCATATACTCTTAGCGATGATTCTCCAGCCCAAATGCAATTTGTGGATTTTTTAAACACCCTGATATTGTAATCACGGAATAAATCCGATCGCAGTGCGTTTTGAGGGTTATGATTCATGCTCAATGAGAGGACCTGAAATATTTCACAGAATCTGGGCCCGGCGATAAGTGATCACCTGGCCACTTTGTGCACTTGTGCAATTCTTCGGGCTGGTGGCTGTCATTGCTTTTCAAGTTTTCATAAAGCATACGGCAGTTATTGCTCGTAGGATACTTAAATATGCCCAAATGTCATCAAGAGCAGTTTTGCATGTGGAAGGAATGTACTTTTCAGACTGTAAAAATGAAACAAAAAAATTAGGAGACGATATTTGGTGATTGGTAATTTGAATGAATAGGAGTAAGTTTTCTTCTTTTTATTACTTTTGACATTTAAGTTATTTATCAATTTCAACTTTGCTTTTCTCTAAACAGCCTGACATTGTTAGAATTGTCAGCAAAAATAAAATTGAGGTACCACGTGAGGAAAATCTCAAAAAGTAGTTTCGTCATTGAAAAGTGTGAAATTATATTTTGATAATTTTCACTGTAAAATTATCAAATATAATTTTCACGGATAATTTAGTAATTCACTGAAAACCATAAAATAAAATTGATTCTTTTTCGACAAAACACACTCCTGATCGCAATGTTACATGTCCAAATACCAAAATAGGTATTTAACAATATCTTCATCATTATTGTTATCACTACTCATAAAGCTGTTGCGATGAATGAGTGGAGAAAACCCCCCAGAATAAATGGATACTAAAACAGTAAATGACTACATTGTAAAGACTTCTGCAACTACTTTTCCAAATGAATTTAATCTTAAAGAATACGAATAGCTATCATTCAGTTGGACAGATCAAGAAATAATTGTATTTTCAAAGTCAATAATTAACAAAGACTATATTTTGAACATATTGACAAGACCACGATCAGATGGACGAGTTAGAATCAGCTTGACTTTAAAATTATATAATAGCAATTACGTCGACATAAAAGTTTTAACATGAAACTTCTTTCGTTTCCTTTTCGAAAACGTCAAATTTGATATTCACTTAACATATCGTTGAAGCCATATTTCCCCATTTCAGAGCGCAGGATCGTTTATATTTAGTTTTCATATCAACGAGGCATGTTTACAAGGTCAGACATTATCAGCATTTACACAAAATGTCAGTGAATCAGTAAATTTAACGACAAACTAGGTTTAACGATTTCAATTAGTTAGTACGTCTTGATCCTTTGAAACAGATTTATCTTTGGGATTCATTGGCACTAAGACAATGACCATGAGATAAATAATGCATTTTCATGAAAAAACAGACCAGCGAATAACAGTTTATCAAATTTCATAGATCATAAGCTGTACTGGTTGCGGGATAACAAGGTGTTATTTGTTCATAAAACCATAAGAATGAAATAGAGAAGGGAAACTGGAAAAACATAAAAAAGATTATTTTAAAGTTATCACAGCGCTTGATCCGAATAAAGTAATGTTATTGATCTGAGCCTGATCCTAATTCTTCTCCACTTTTGTTTTTATGACATGGTAATAGCAATGATGGTTTACCACCTATTCGTGAAATAGGAAGGTCATACAGAAGCTAGAAGTAGATCACGTAAAGCTATGACAGTAAAAGCTGGATAAGATAAATTTGTAAAAATATTTTGCCGTCGGCCTGAAAACCAGTTTCAATAACCATTTTAACAGTACTGTTGTAAATCTCATAACTTACTCAAGATCTTTTAAATGCCAACAAATGGTGTAATTTGAATTGCATACCTATCAATGCTAACAAAACTAAGGTCATGTATATTTCCTCAAAACATAAGCAAAATTATATTTGTGAAAGTGATCCTTGTATTTTGTGTAAAACAGAGCAAATTGTTTGTAGCTCTGAAGAAAAATTACTGGGTATTTCAATAAATAACACCTTATCTTGGCAAAGTCATATTGATAATGTTCTAAAAAAATGCAACTCATTGTTTCATTTATTATCTCGTAAAAAATTATTTATATCTATACCTGTGCGTAAAATGTTTTACAATGCATATACTTTACCACATCTTGACTATTGTTGCATTATTTACGGTAACTTTACGTCTTTTCTAGAAGATAAACTCATTACGTTCCAAAAGAGAGCAGCAAGACTAGTTCTAGACAAAGATTATGACACTCCATCTGCTGAACTAATTTCTGAACTCAGCTGGATGACCTTTTCGCAGTGGGTTGTTTTTCAAAAAGCTTTCATGATGTTTAAAATAATGAATAATCAGGCGCCTTGCTATTTAGTGAATTATTTCATTTTATCGTAAGATGTTCATACTCGCATTTTGCGTTCATCATCTGATTTTTAACTTTATACCCCTAGACCAAATACTGAACAATTTCGTAAGACTTTTATTTATTCTGGATCTTATATTTGGCACGGCCTGCCTGATTCTATCAAGTCTGCTACAACTGTGAACCATTTTAAAACTTTATACTTGAGATTTAATCACACATGATGCATACAAATTAATAATCTCCTATATGTATTTACATATATGTATTTTAATAGTTTAAATATGTTTAATTTATATTGTTCCTTGTTGAGGGCCTCATGGATTCAACGAGTTCTCTTGTTAAATAAAAGTCTTTATTATTATTATTATTATTATTATAAACACCGCTAAGACGGATATTATTTCTTAATTGGTGTACGGATGATCCGAAGGCGAAGTATGTCATGCAAACAGAAATTGTACTTTCGATTTCGCCACAATGAGGCTGAATACGATCTGGAGTCGATATGAAACCTAATTCATTAATGAAATGCGCTGTTTCTGTTCTTATGAAATTTATCAAATGCAGCTTTGACAGCCTTGATGCCTTGAGTCCTTATACTTCAACATCCCCGTTCATTAACAATGGTTTGATTACAGTGAATGGAAACAGGATCATTTTAAACCTTTTAAAGCTACAAACATAACATTCTTATCTTATATGTACGAAATCTGATAACTTACAGAACAAATGGTACATGTATTACAATGTAAAGATGTACATGTACCATATATTTGTTTGTTAAAAAACTTAAATCGTAGATGTCTGCAGAGTTACAGCCTGATTATCACTGTTTATTAAAGGTGTATTTAACACAAGGGAACAACCCGCTATGGAAACATATGATCACCTTTAGCATTTCTTCCAGGAAAATAAATGATACTTCAATATTTTTGGCTGGAATATAAACAAGTTGTGTTATTGTTATCGTTTAAGCGGGGTCAAACACTTAATCTCAGCCTGGATGAGACAAAATAATAATACGCACAACTTATTTACTAGAGACATCGGAAGCTGGTCAACATCCGTTTGTGAGTAACAAACAAGGCAAACGTTTCAGCAAGTGAATAATTGTGTTTAAAAATACCAATAAATTACCGAAATCAACCATATAGCCACAAAAGAAAAAAATGTCGCTGGATTAGTAGTGCACACCTTTTGGGTACATCAACCGTTACAGAACAGAAAATACATAAATCAGCAGACTGGAGCAATGCAAACATTTTTAATTAAGAATTTGCTAAATACTGTAACAAACCACTGTAGAATAACAATAGGAAATCATTGCAGGATATTCTGAATACTGTTAATTAGTTGACTGTAGAATTTATCTATTGCCTGCGTATTATAAGTTAGATCACATGTTAAATCTTATTAATTCCAAGAAGAATTGAATACTATGTTTATTTTACAAACTTATCATTTGTTGATGACTAATATCTCTGTGGTTCAATTCATGAGTTTATATGTATGATGAAATTAGATGATTAAACTAGAATTCCCTACACCTTACTAGCCCTTAATACGTTCTATGCGGATGAACTTCTATATCAATTCCCGTCTTATAGTGTGACAGTCCATGCATAAGGGAAGCTTACCAAAAATTGTGCCAGGAATCTGACAGTGCTGACACGCCCGTACTTGGACATTAATTATATCCCGAAACGATATATAGATATTGATAAGCAAGGATCAACAAGAAAGCCTTAAGATTGAACATAAACATAGTTGATAAGGCATTAAAGGCATCAGTTCATTACCAAAACTAACCAAAAAGATACGTGTGACTTCGCTTTACTATAGAAAATTTTGGAAATCAGAACAATGTCGGTACATCACTATCCAACTCATTATAAAAGAAAAATACAAAACTTAAAAAGATATATATATTAAATTTTCTTCAAAATGAACTTCAAAACTAGGTAAACAAATGGATAGATTCCAAACAATGCCTCTTCAGACAAAGACAACGCGTTTACGCATGATTTAATTTTGGCCTGATTCCAAGATATTAAAAAACTCAGGAAACAATGTGATCCCTCGGAAGCATTAATCACAACAAGATAACTTGAAAATTGCAGACTCGGTTTGATTGAGTCTGCACATGAGGGATAATTAATAAGTGCAACATCTCTCAAGCCCCCTAGCACTGGCTTGAGCGATACTCAATTCACAACACTTAATAGTGCTGGCATCAATTAAGTCTCGGTAATTACCCTCATTACATGAACTCGGACAGCTATACAGTCGTTATTTGTATACGGAGATATGAAAACATAGTCCAATGTTTATACAATAGTAAAAATAAAAAAAGCAAGAAACTAAAAATGGGCCCCGAATTGTAAAGTTCATAAATGTGAATGTTTTATGTACTCGTATTTGTATTGACGACTCGATAAGTAAATCGTGTCATTCCGCAGTAAAGCTTGCGTCTTATACAAAATCATATAAGCCTCGGCTAATTCGCAGCTGAATTAATTCTAAGGCAATACGTATACGAGGGTTGTCCAAAAAATTCGTGCACTGCAGTTATTGTCGTGTGAGTTATTGATAGAAAAACATTAATTATATATCACTTGAAGGGGAGATATATCTTAAATAATAAAACAAAAGAAAAAAACATGTAACCGGCATATCCTGAAAACGAATCGTCATACAGTTACCTTGGTAACGTAATACCGGCGCACGACAAAAAATTGGGTTAGTTCATGACTATGATGCATCACGGTATTCTTTAAACACTACATATTAACGTTAAAATTCAGGGAAAAGTGTGTGTACGTATTCCTTACGTCACTAGAAAATATGGCGTCATTTGCATTCTTGTAACAGTCGTAAACAAACATTTGTTTGCGGTCGTCAGTACTGTAATTACGTGAAAATATCAGTCGCTAAACGTCTGGAAATACGGACGATTATTAAATTTGGTGCAAATATTGGTAAAACACCAACAGATACCTACAGAGAACTTAAAATGGCAAGCGGGACAAATTCAGTGTCAAGAAGGCTGGTTTTTAAATGGCACAAACGCTTTGTGGAAGAGAAAGAGAGTCGGTAGACGATGAAAACCAGTCAGGCAGACGTCCGTCCGTAATGCCGGCGCATGTGACGAGGGTTGTCCAATATATTCCTGCACTGGTGGAATATGCTACATGTACGTTGCATTAAAAACAATAAAAACTACACAATACTTTTCACCAATCATTCCTCTATTGACAGTAAAACAAATTATAACATAAAAAGCAAATACCACTTTATATTTACAAGCAACAAACAATACAATTACAGTAATGAACTAACCCAATGTTTTGTCTTGCGCCGGTATTACGTTACTAAGGTAACTCAATGACCATTCTTTTACACGACACGCCGGTTACTCGGCTTTTTCTTTTGTTTTCTTATTTGAGACATATTACTCTTTCAAGTGATATATAATTCATTTGTCTTTATTAATAACTCTCACGACATTAACTGCAGTGCACGAATATTTTGGACAACCCTCGTATTAGCGATTTCATTGATTGTATCTAGTAATTGTATGGATGCCGTCTCGTTAAATTTGTATTTGAGAATTAGTCTCGAGTTTAGAATATAAAACATTTTATTACAGTTTGTTTAATTTAAATATACAACCTTTATTTTCAATTTCAAATCTTTTTCTTTTTCATTCAAATACTTAGGTTTCCAACCAAACAGGTTTCGAAAAAATCCTTTTTTTCGATCCCTTTTCCATGCACAAAGAATGACACTTAGCATTTCTCCATTTAGCTCTATCTCAAGTAACACTGCTTCAACATCCTGAAAGCATTTTTATCATTGCTAAACAATGGAACGTTCAATGTTTTTATTATTTACAGGACTAAAAATATTGTGAATTAGGCCCAAATTTGTATTTGCAACTACCAATATATAATCGTATTCAATGAATTAACAAATTATTTTTAAATCAAAGTTATCATATATTTATTAATCAATTGTATCAAAACAAAATATTTCTTTAAAAATTACAGCACATAATAACCAAAATGGTATTTCAAAAATATATCGATTTAAACTCGGACACTAATACTCTAAACCTGGACATGACGACATAGCGCAATCGTCAATAGGTATTGAAAAACAGATTAAATGTGCAATGAAGTAAAAAAACAGATAATGATACCTGGATGTTGACTAATCGCTCCTCTATGTAGTCAATAAACGTGTAAAACAAAGATTCAACATCACGAATTATACTTATTGTTTCTTCAAGGTCATCTGCATGATACATAAAGTGACGATGATAGTAGGTAAATGTCACTTCTGCCGAAGTGAGAGGTGAGCGACCGAGTCTGTTTTTAGAAATCTGGAACATCACTAAGTGCTAAATTTAAGCTGGGTTTTACATGCTACATTTAGGTGTGCTATATTTTAACGTCTGGTAATCCATTTTATTTATTGGGTTTCATTACTGATTTCATTTATTACTACTTACTTTTAGTTTAGGTAATGATATATAAAGTTATTTTCGTATTATTGTTAGTAATAAAGAAAACAGTATACTTCAATGTATTATGTTATTTTCATTATCAATTAATGGAATATAGCAACGGTCTTCAGTTAATTTTTTCATCGGCCCGCCAATTTAGTGTATACAAATTTTAAGTTGTAATGATATCGTAAATAAAAGATCTTATAAATACTATATAAGGTCTACATCAAAATTGTGGTGTACATAAAAACGAGCGGACGGTATTTCCGAGATCGAGCGGAAGGCCGACATAAACGGCTAATTGTAAGTATTATTTACGGTTTTGTTTTGTAATGCGTTTAAGTTGCATATTTTCGAAAAACGAAAAATAAATTTTCCTAACGTAGTGAACACGACGATTTGTAGAAAACCCTTCAAATGCTTTACCTTTCGGATCTTTTCGGAAATGCCGTTCGCTCGTTTTTCCGTACACCATAATTTCAAGGTTGAGCGAGTTTGTCAACGTCCAATATTACAATTACTTGATAAAAAATTGAACATGTATCATATCATACAGCGGAGACCGAGTCATGACAAGTTTGTGCATGATCTATAAAGCAACAGAACGCACAATAAACAGAAACATTAATTTTACATTCATCGCTAATAATACAGCGTTTTCTTGTTCTAGCAAGAATTGCAAGAAGACAAGTGTTGCACTGGAGAATGAAGGAAGAGGTTTCCGACCTATAATATAACTATTTTGTTATCACAAAGTTTAGAGAAACTTTGCAAGTGGTGTTCAAAAAAGGTTTCCTTGTCGGGAAAGTCATTTTGAAAATCATGTATCGGCCATTAATTTTGCATGAAACCAGCTAAAGGACTGATGTTTATGACAGTTATGTTAAAAAACGTCAACACTGGAACAGAATAAAAATCAACATGAATACGGTAACATTAAGACCTTTCGCCACATAATTTGTCTTATAACAGTTTTACAAAGTCTCTCAGGTATTTATTGAATATATTTCATACGAGGTATGAAATGCTTTGTCACACTTTTTGTTAATTACATTTATGAAATACGAGGATCTATCAAAACGTTTCTTCCGGTAGTCAGAGAACCCAACTAATGGTCTTACTTTTCAATATAATCCCCCTCTACATCAATGCACTTTGCCCATCTGTGCTCCAACTTGTTTAACCCTTCAAAATAGAACACTCTATGTTGGTCCTCAAAGAATTCCTCCGCCTCCATGACACTTTCATTGCAAGAGTGCTTCCACCATATGCTCTGTTTTTGGATTCTCGATCGAAGTGATGGACCCATGTTTCTTCCTGAGTTACGATCCGGTGGATAAAATCATGTTCATCCTCGTAGCGAGACAAAATATATCTTGAAATGGCAAGCCTGGTCCGTTTCTGGTAGTCAGTCAACTGTATGGGGACCCATCTAGCGGAAACCTTTTACATGCCATAGACATCAGTCAGAATTGCCTGAACTGAACCAAAGCTTATACCCACTTCCCCAGCAATGCTTCGCAGGTCTCGCCTTCTTTCGCACATGAACAGATCGTGTACAGCTTCGGAAGTTTCATCGTTGGTGGCCTCTTTTGGCCGCCCAGGCCTCTCATCATCTCCAATGATTTCCCTGCCTCTCTCAAATTCAGCAGCCCATTTTCTCAAAGTGCTATAGGAAGGGGATTCCTTCCCAAATGTATCCATGAGGTCTTCATGGATTTCCTTGGGGCCATCCCTATCTTACAGAGGTACTTATTGACGGCCATGATTTCAACTTTCTTCATTTGGTCTAAATGACACAACCCTGTACTGATCAAAATGTGTTTTATATTACTAAATCTGCGTAAAGCCATGTGTAACTCGGTCAGTGATCATCAATAAGATATCGGTGTCGACGTATTGTGTGTTAATGTCAGTGTAGTGGCTAGAAGCATATCGGGTCGATAATTTTTTGATCATACCTGGTATAATCAAAATACTAGTAATTAAACTGTTTATGCTAAATCGTATTTCGATCTTAAACCTTTGCTGAAATAAATACTTGCAATTTGCAGGAGCTTTTCAAGATATATATATTTGTTACCACGACATTAAGAGGGACACGAGCGGTTGACCTATTGATATAATCATTAAGCTTGAGTATGTGTAGCAGAGCCCGTACCGTTAGAGAAATGTAGTTATCTTCCTCTACCCGAGAAAAGCATAAAAGAGCACAAAAACACAAAAAGCGGTACTCGCAGTAAAAATAACAATCAAAATGCTTGTTCTGGACAATACTTGCCGCTGCGTTACACCCAGTCACAGACGCGGAAGGCCATAATCCAGGCCGTGTAAGCAACAACAGGCAGTTTAATTACATATTAAATGAAAATGGCATCGATTTTTCTCTTTTAGAAAGAAAGAGACAATAAAATAAAATTTTAATTAAGTCATTTGGTGTAGAAAAATATAAAATATATCCTACAAACAAGTAAGCCTTACCAAGTTTCTCCCCCAGTCTTTTTTTAAAGCGGATCTTAGACATTTTATATGATTAGAAATATAAGTCGTCTGTCAGGAGACAGAATAGCACATGATGGACTAGCGTGTTACAGCATTAAGTGCTACCTCTGATTTACTTAATAAACATGCACCTTGCAGTTTTCAAAATGGAGCACAACGAGTGAAGACAAACAATAGGTTCGATGTACCATTAAAAAATAAAACAACCCTTTGGTTTTGTTAGTTTTAAAAGTCTATTACATCAATTGATTCGAGTACCTCAACCACTAATAAGTCTTCCACAAAACTATATAAATAACCGAGACATGTGGTTACTTTTTCTTTATCAAATGTGCTGATGATGAGATGTTAAAACCTGCCGAAGTGTATAGGGGACCTTGTGTAATCAATAATATTTTAACCGTTTGTTATAATAGAAAATGATATATGTTAACTCTTGAAAAAACCCATGAAACTTACTTTATTCTAAGAAAAGCCGATGGTTTCAAAGAATCAACAAATAATAGATTCATTTTTGCAGTAATTCGCTGGATGATGTCACATTTAAAGATATATGAAGCCTTGAGTTACAGTTTTTCACTATGTCTGTTAAAAAGTCAAGGTATTGATACTTGACAACAGCTTCCAAGTGCTTCTTTAGAAATATTCCTATTGACATAGTGGTAGATTTCTTAATTATCGAGAAATTCTTTCACCCATCTGTTTTACCATTTGCTTCAGGATCCGTTCTCATTTCTTATCGTTGACGTCTTTTGCAGAATCGTGTTATTCATTCTTCAACGGAACCACGCACAAATATCGAGAGAATACGTCTATAGTGACGAATAAGTATTTGATTGACAATTTTCCTTAAGCAAACTGGGTCAATGTCCGCCTTGGGGTCTTTAATTTGTAATGTAATGGCCTTTGTTAACTTTATGCATACACATTTTGCAAACACTGAATATTTAAAAATTAGCATTCAGTAGAATTCCAGATTACTAAAACAAGTCCATCATCTCTCCTGGGGCAGAACTGTCTTTACCTATCATTATCACGTCAATAACATTAAAAAATATTCATTCACCATAAATATTAAAATATCTATATGTTCAGCGCTCCTTTTTAGTTGTTGAATATCTAACATGTTCTTAGTCTATTGATAAATACATGTCTGGAATTAAAATATATTTCTGAAACATAATGTGCCTTTAAGAAAAACAAGTACAGAGCAATGTCATAAGGAAAGAGAAGACATTGTTGTTTACAGGTATTGCTCCGGAGAGGTTATATTTACGTTAAATCTTACTTTGGGAAGATGAATTGTAAATAATACAAATAAAAAATTGCTTTATAAAGTGTCTTCTGTAATTTTTGTATGCTTTTAATGCGTACATTCGCAAAGAGAAGTTCATAAAAATAAAAAGGTAGAATAAAAATAAATTAACGAAAACAACTAAGAAAATATCAGAAATAGTGAATAGTATACCTTCACGGTTTTTCAACTCTGTCACTTTACATTCTTTCCGATAAATATCACTTTCATGTTCTTCTATTTTCATCCGAAGATCGCGCGCCTGTTCTTGTTTCCTTTTTGCTGATATTTCGTTGCCCTGTGCACTGCTTTTACTCACATAAGCTGATGTGCCGTGAACAACGGAGTTTGCTCCTGCAAGTCCTAATGCAAGAGTAATGCTTTTTCCTCCTGAAGAAAATTTATCTTGTTTGGTCTTTGTATGCTAAATAACTGAAACACGTCCTATGTTGTCTCCTTTTATAATCAATGTAACGAAATACCCGTGCGTTTAAAAGTTAACATATTTTTTTGGTAATTCTAATAGTATATAAAGAAGAAATAAGAAACAACAATAGCACTGGAAGTGTAAATAAAATAATTATACATAAATGGGACAAAACTAATTTCATAGCAGTTGATGAAATATTATAAAATTTAAATTTAATTTCGTTTAAATCGTGATACCTGTAACAGGTGCGAATGCCAATCCGGTCAGAAGTCCAATTCCACTTCCTACTGTTGCTACAATTGCATGCTCTGTTGACAATTGATGTGATTCTGCAGCGTATCTTTCTAGCTGTCTTGCATCGCTTTCGTAAGAGTTGGCGTCGTTATAGCATGTCTCAATCTCCATTCTTAAAGAATTCATTGTTCCCATTGTCTGCGAAATATCAACGCATATCAATTGTCTTTTAGTTTCGTCCTCTTTTTTCCTTCGTCTGCATATTTCAACAACATCATGATTACTGGTTTGCGATCTCCGTACATCGTCGGACCATTTGGTTAAGTCTTTTCGGAACTCTATTATGGCCACTTTAAACTTGTCAAAAGTGTTAGCATTCGGTCTCCACTTCGACAGCAATTTGGATTTCCTTCTATTAACGGCACGCCATTTAATAAACAAGAGAATGTTGAGCTTTTCTCTTACATTAATCCATTCCGAGGCTAGCTTTTCTATTTTGGTCTGGACATCTGGCTCATTGAATAATTTCTTTAACAAGAGGTTCAACTTTTGTTGATCCGTCTCAAGTTGCTTAAAGAGAACCAATTTCTTTTCAATTTCACCAACTGTAATACTAAATAGATTAAGTATCTTCCACTCCCTCAGACCTACATTCCAAGAAAGAACTTCAAACAATTCCTCTTCATTCCAGGCAAAATTTAAAGAACATAACTTGATCGGTGAAACTGTTTTACGTTGCGTTTTTTTTTTTTTTTTTGGGGGGGGGGGGGTGGGGGTTATTTTTTATCAATTAGAATTATGAATTCATGTCATTACTCGAGTAATTATTAAAAGACATAAATTTGTAAGCCTACTCAGTCGACTTGGAACCCATGAAATATTTTCAATCCTGAGTGGCATTTATTAAGCCGGTTCGAAATTGACTGACATTTAACCTTCAATATGCCGAGGCTCGCATAATAAAATTTCTTCACTTTTGACCTACATTCCACGAAAAGAAAACTTCATTACTTTAGACAAATATTTATTATAGGCAAAATATACACATATACTACAAGAACATTACGTGATGGGTGGTATTAGTTTTCGTTGCATTTTTTTCCATAAGCTATTTTGTAATTAAAGCCATGAACTGTGAAATAAATTCTTACATTATTCTTTTTAATGACAAGAAATGTCTTAGTAACTTAATTAAGAACCGTTTAAAAATAATTTTAGGTCGCCATCAAGGCTATTAATTTTAGGTCGCATGGACGCTAGGCCACCGCTAGGTCGCCAAGCAACCCGTCTGCCATATTCACTGAGCTCACTCAGCTCAGCCGCTAGGGCGCCAGGTCGCCAACATTATGCCGTTTATTCGCCAACTTCAAAGACCTTTCTACCTGTTGATTGATTTTTACAAAGATATACTACGAACAAAACTGTTAATTAAAATTATAATACACATAAGAGATACACACGCTGGATTTGCATATTATGTAAGTGTTTAGACTCACCAATCTTAAACTGTATCTTTCGTAACCTTTATAAAAATATGCTATTTTTTACATATGAATGTCACTTTGAATTATTCAGATTGAGATAAAGCATAAACACCTTGTTTAAATTTACATTTCACTCAGTAAAATGACATATGCTAAGTACAGATTTAATCTTCAGACTTCTAAGTGTAATGTATTTTAAAACAAAAGAGCATTGATTGTCCTTTTATTCCTGAATGGATTAAAGATTACTTGACAGAAATGCGTGAAATATGATGCTGACGTGTCGCATGTTAGTTGGCGTTCCAGCCACACTTGCTCGCGTCTAAACGTATGACACATTTATTTTAAATTAAAAGTGCAGCGAATACGATTGACATGAAACTGTGTAGAGCTCAAGATTCTTATATAGCGCAAAAAAGTTCATGTCGCGCTCATATCTCCAAAGAAATGATGTAAATTTTCATAAAATGAATATATAGAATGTCTTCTAATGGAACGTTATGTTCGATTATCTTTTTTCAAACTTATAACTTTAAACTTTTTTACCAATATAATTTGCTTTTTAATATATTGTTAAACGCATTTATAATAAACATTGATTGGTGCTTTGTTATCCTTTCCGAATATGTATTATAATTCACTACTCATTAGCTTTTGCAGCATTCATTTAAGTTATCACTAAATTAAAAAAGACATACCGGGAATCACAGATGGACAGTTTGGAACAAAAGATCCACCGCATAACTAGGGGATATGGAGTGGTATACGTCGTATTTCTAAATTCAAACATATCAGATGAAGAAAAGACAATGTCATTTAAGGTCAAAGTCATTAGAATAATTCAACATGTCGGTTTTGTCATATTAAGTAGACTTTTGTCCAAGAATGAATCAAATCCAGAAAAGAAAAAAATAACAAAGTTATAACAATTCAGGAAAATTTCAATAATTTGAGCTTCACTGTCAAATTCAATATCAATAAAAGGTCTAGGTCAAATGAAAATAATTCAACGTGTCGGTTTTGTCATATTTGTTCTTTTCTTGCAAGTATGAATAAAATCTATGTACATTTGTATACGTAAATAACAAAGTTATGACAATTACAGAAAATTTCTATAATTTGATCTTCATGGCGAAAATCAATTAAAGATGAAAGTCACATCAGAAGAATTAAACTAGTTTGATCACATGTGTCCTTTGTGCAAGACTGAATCAAATCAGGAAGTAAATAACTTATGATAATTTAAGCAAATATCAATAATTTGACCTTAAAGGTCAAGATTATTAAAGGTCAATATCATAACAGAATAACTTAACATGTCAGTTTTATCATATGTGTTCTTTTGTTCAAGTATGAATCAAAGATGTAAATAAAGTTATGACACTTTGAGGAAATTTCAATAATTTGAACTTTCCGATCAAGATCAAATAAAGATCAAGATCATATTTGAATTATTCAACATAAGGATTCCTTAACCAAGTATTAATCAAATCCATAAAGAAATACAGTTATGGCCAATAGTAGCAAAATTTACTGATTTGACCTTCAGCGTCAAGGTCAGGTTAAGGTCAAGTTCAATAAAATCGTTCCAAAATTGTTGTGTACTAGAATGAAGACAATACGTTTGTAACTTCCAAAATTTTAACCAATTAAAGCAAAAAAAAAAACAACAAAAAAACAACAACAAACAAAAATATAGAAATAAAAAAACAACAACAACAAAAAACAACAACAACTAAAATTTAATCTTGAAGGTCCAAGTCAAGGTTACCTACATGTCTAGGTTGAATTGTTTGATCTTTTAGGACCTTGTCCTTAGGGTTGTTGTGCTTAAGTATGAAGATAATCCATCCATAAACAAACAATTATCATAGTATTGCAAGCAAGCCATAAGTCCTTCATCGGTATTCTGAAGGGCTATTTGCCATTCAATGATGCAATTGAATTAATGAATGATATAAATGAACGTAAATCTTTTGAGTTCTTAGTTTGTCTGTATCACAGTAAAGTGTTAAGTGTCCCTGCATTGTAAAGACATTATGTTTGTACAACAGATAATCGAAATATCCAATTTCTATAGGATGAATATGTATAACTAATGTTTCAACTTTTCTATATTTTAAGTAGATTTGTTGGAAAAGTTCCAAGTTCTTTAAAATTGATATTAGAAAACAGTTTTTAGGAACGGACAGACAGACGGACTGAAAGACACTCTGCAGGTAAAATTTTAAACATCTCTGGTTATTACCAAAATATAGCATTTTTTAAAAGCAAAACTCTTAAAGAGGAAATAAATCTTGAAATAAAGATGCTAGACTGATGGATATTGTCATACATGATGTGAGTGTAACAAAGAACATATCAAGTTCAAAATGGAAATACTCATGGAAACCCATGGTTTATAAATCTAATCACATATATGATGTTGGTGTATGATGTTTATGAAGTTTGAAGTAGATACATTAAGAAATAAATAAGTTATGAATTTATTTTTTCATGAAAATTCTAAGTTCAAGAGAAGTAATTCCAATATTATTGCTGTAAACCATGTTAGTAACATTCATTCATCTTAAATGTGTATACATTATTGGGTCCTAAGAATCAGATCTTTGCAGCAAACCATTGTCCATTTCTATTGTCATAAACCGAACTCAATTTCTGTTTATTTCACCGTAAAAAAGAACATTTACATCATATATCACTATATAAAGTTTTTTTCAACTGTTTTATTTTATTGAGTATAGAAATAAATTGCATATCTATGCAAACATGACATATATTATTTATTACACGTAGTCTCGTCTATACATGTAAAACATATACAACGAGAACAATGTTTAGCCATATGAGACACGTCATGTTCCAATTCTTTTATTCCCTGCGGTCTGGAAACCGCAGGGTATTGGTACGCGTTTAACTTTTGAGGCATGGAGGAGCACGTGACCTGTTTTCGGTACATGGAGGAGCATGTGATCTGTAAACCGTATATGATTGGTTAATTGACCTTTTCGAAAACCCAGCTAAATACCGTTTGCCGGTACGTTACGGATTTACCTGTAGGAAATTAGTCCGAATTACACTTAATTGAGAACGTCATATTTCTAATTTTCTATAATTATTTTACCGTTTAAGGTGGAAAACCTTGAATGATGTCTTTGAAAATTATCAATGTTTCTTCAATATCTATCTCAAATTTTACAAACAATAAATTGTTTATACTGAAAATCTACAAAATTAAAATATTCGTAGTGGCATCTGCCATAATAAATAGAGATATTTTCTGCGTAAACTTGTGTGTTTACTTTATTTATTTTTTGCTCGGAATTATTCATAAAATGGTAGGCCTATTTAATCATTTTCTTAAAAAGAAATAATTGTTTTATGTTCGACCTTCTCCGGTCTTCAACGGTCACATACAGTTTCCAAAGACCTTCTTCTATATTGTTCGATTATTGTCAACTATGTTCCTGTTACAAACGTTTATTTATCCCCCCCCCCCCCCCCAAATAATGTTGAAAATAGTTAAATGAAATATCTTTATATCATTAAAATGTTCACCGCAGGAAACCATTTTACTTGTTTGAACTGGCTTTAGATAACGAGTTGACGAGTATTTTTATACCAACATGTTTTTATGTGCGCAAGTCATTTAACTACGTAATGAAGTAACAGTGACATGATACGCATTTAGGACCTTAATAATCGGGCGATACAATATTTTAGCTGCGAATACTATAACTTACTGTTACACTCAAACATTTAAGCTTTTATGTTTGTATTATCATCGTACGACTGTTATAGATCATTTTAAATCATATTTATCTTGATATCTCATATTAAGTTATGATGAAAAAAAAGAAAAAAGAAAAGAAAAAAAGAACAGAAAGGAAAAAATGTTTAAATAAGGTATTAATACCCGCCTGGATTACAATAGAGACGCCTGGCTATGTTTTGTACTTTTAAAATAGTGTATACGTTATACTTCTGTTACATTCAATACATGCACTTGATATTATGCTAAAGACAATAGTAGTACAATAGTACAATACAACTAAATGACATTTCATTGCTTACATATCACTTTAA